CAGAGATAAGGAGTAATAGACAGTTAGGCAATTAAGCATTCACCTTTGGACTGATAAATATGGCTGGTCTTTATGAGTCAAGGCCAGCAGACTGCACCTTTAGAGTAAGAACTGGGACGAGCAGGGGAGTGTGCGTTGATGATTTCAATTGTTTCCATAATACTTGTGCCCAGCACAGCTCCTGACGCTAGTGGTCACTATGTAAGCATCCATTTTCCTTCCCCTGTATTGCCCTGTGTGAGTACTGCTCTTAGACTTTGCGCTTGAGATTTGGTAAGAACTGGTCATCCTCTTTGAATATTCAGGGTTACAAAGATAGAGACAACTTGAATTCCTTTGAAGCCTCTCCTCTGGTGCCTGGAATGTTCTTCTCACTTTTCATGAGAACTCCTAAATGCTGCCTTCTCTCTGAAGCATTTGTAGCCTTCCCCAAGCAGAATTTATTGCTTTCTCTTCATCTCCTACACTGTCCTTTATATAGTATCTATTATAGCAATTATTCTATGCCTTCAATGATCACTCTTCCAAAGCTGTACCTATAAACTTAAATATGAAGCAAATTGCCTGGGAATCTTGTTAAAATACAGATTCTGACCCAGTACTTCTGGGGTGGGGCCTGGGATTCTGCACTTCTAAAGACACTCTCAGGAGATGCCAACACTGCTGGTCTAGGGACCATACTTTGAATACCAAGGCTCTGAACAATCTGGTGATAGGTCACATAAGGACATCCAGCCCTGTAAGTGGGGACTGGCCTTTAAGCTGGAGGGAAAGCATCAGTTTGGCAGTTTCTGGATGAGTGTGCAGCATGAACTCACTCACTTGTGCTCACCTCAGGCAACAGAAATCTATTTCCTGTAATCTTAGATCAGCAAGCACAGCATCTGGGCTGAAGTCAGCAGGCGCCATTCAGCAGACACGTGGTTTCCCGAAGGTGACCAGACATCTACACACTGTACACCCTGCCCCTGACTATGGGACTCTTCATGACCCAAGTTACATTTAAGTGGGAGGTAAAAATGGATTGCTACTTTTTAATTTTTCCTTTTTTAAAAAGCTTTTGTAATGGAATCCTCAAAAAATTGGAAAATCATTTAAATGAATTAGATTTAAAATCAAGTTTTAAAACTCTTTAGATTTAAAAGAGAATTAATGAGTTCATGGAAAACTCAACGGGTTAACTGTTGGGTTGTCGGAAAAGTCATGACGTATTTTTTCGATGTTTTTCATTGCAAAAGTGCGTCATGACTTTTCTGACAACCCAATAGTTCTTCAGAACTCTGTTAGGAAATAAAGTACTCTGGCAGAAAGGTAAGTGGTTTGGAAGTAGCCTTTGCTCTACCTAGAGCATGACACTTTCAGAGCTGAAATGGAGCTTAAAGGGTGAACAGTACAGTTCTCATTTTACTAATTAAGAAACAGACCCAGAGAAGTTCTTTCCCAAGCTCAGAGCTAATTAGAAGCAGTACCTCTCTGATCAAGTAAGTGGCATGTGCAAAAGTTCATTTAAGGTTCAAAGAGTATTTTAGTCTATCACCAAGAAGTAGCTAATCTGATTTTATATTTGGTTCAGAAAATTGGAATGAAAAAACTTACTTCCATATGTCATTGACTTCAGTGGGTGCAAACTCTTTAGACTCTAGTTGAATCATGGCAAAACCACCAATGGCGTACAGGGATCCAGCCAGACTGACCAAACTGATGGAACTTCTTTCTTGCGGAAATTCGGTCATTACCTCCCATCTAGGAATTATTGAAAATATAGTCAAATGTAAAATGTAAAGAAATGCCAAATGCATTTACTGAACAATTATAGATTATAATAAATTCAAGTAGCATAGGCATCCAAAATTAGAAGATTAATTTTGGTACTGGAAAATAACTATTATTCCTTTATTTGAAAGGTATAGCCAGACTAGATATAAAGCTCTCACTATGTCAGCCCTAACATACTTCATATCAGTTAGCACCTTCAGCAGTGGCTATAAAACCATGTGCCTGTCATAAACTGGGAGTTCTGCGGCAACTCTAGGACTCCAAGGCTCTGCTGTGCTGGATTTCATTTGAATGCTAATACAAATTTTTTTCTTTTTTTTTATTGTTAGTTTCAGGTGTACAGAACAATGCAATAGTTACCCTTTTCACCCTCACAAAGTAACAACCCCCTTCCCCCCATCCACTGCCCTCCCACCCC